CCCTTGGGCTTTCGCAGGCACTGCAGGCGCTCCTGCCTGGCTTCGTTCGTTTGTTATTTTATCACATGTTTCAGTTAATAGTCTCACCCTGCTTATTAATAGTCCTACCCTGCTTGTTTACATCACATGTTTCATTAAGGATGAAATGACAAGGGATCTCGTCAACAAAGTTGATCATATTCTTAAAAACCACTCAGGCGTTGGCATGAAGAAACTAAGACTTGAACTTGTTGAGTGTAACAAGGTTGATTCCTATAATATTAATAGTTGGCTTCATATTGCTGTTACAGCAGGAATTGAAGAACTCGAGATTTATCTGCCTCATATTCCTAAGGAACCATACAATTTACCATGCTCGCTGTTATTTAATGGGAGTGAAAGCTCAACTCGGTATCTTCACATAGCCATATGTGCCTTCCGTCCCACTGCTGAGCTTGGTTGCTGGAGAAGCTTGACACGGTTATGTCTGAGACTCTGAGTAATGTACGGATTGCTGACGATGAGCTAGAGGGCCTTCTTTCCAATTGTCCCGCATTGGAGCTTTTGAGACTCCTGAATTGCCGTGAGATCGTTTGCCTGAAGGTACCTCGTGTGCTGCAGCGGCTTTACGTTCCTGAGAGTGTCTCTATGCAGAAGTCTGCAAGTGATAGACATCGGTGCTCCAAATATCTCCACTTTTCACTTCAAAGGTAGCTTAGTATTAATTTCATGGAAAAGTGCATTGCAAGTAAAGAACGTAGACATGGAGTGTTTAGAATTCGGTCAGTCCAACTATGTCTTGCATATGCTCGTACCAAGCTTCTGTCCTATGCGCCAATTGTTGAAAGACTTGTCATATCCTTCGCTAATGAGGTATGTTCTGAAAGTTTAGATGAGTATAGACTAGCTGTTTGGATATAACAGTTGTCGTGCCTACTCATATAACTAATCTTAGATGCCTTGTATGCAGATGATCAGCACACCAATGCTACCTAGCAAATTCCGCCGCCTCAAGTACTTGCATATTTCTCTAATTGGAGATGAATCTATTTCACCGGATTATGATTACCTTTCTCTGGTTTCATTTCTTGAAGCTTGTCCTTGCCTGGAGACTTTCATCTTTGAAGTAAGTTACGTCTCATCTTGCAATCATACCTAGTGTCAATTATGAAATCGCTGTTTTGTCTATAGGTACGACAACCTGACATGAAGCATGATTCAATTATCGGGGATTCCTCGTGTCTGAAGCAGCTACCGCAACACCACCACAACAACCTAAGGAGCATGACGATCGTCGGCTTTTGTTCCACGAAGAGCTTGGTTGAGCTAACATGCCACATTGTGGAGAACGCGTCATTGCTGGAGCGCCTCACTTTGGACACCATTCATGGCTGTCACAGTTCTGGAGGATGTAGCATCAATAAATATCGGAGAGCGTACTATACAGGGAGTGGTATCCGCACTTGGGCCCCACCTGACAGATGCCTCCCTATGGGGAGGGATATCCTCATGGAGGCTCCCAGGGCGCTTTCGGCTATCAGAACACACGTCGAGGGGAAGGTTCCCTCAAGAGTCATGCTAAAAGTCATGGAGCCTTGTAGTTGGTGCCATGCTGTTGAACACTTATATGCCTTTTAAAATAACATTTAGATGCCTAATTAGCAACGTGCAATGTTGAATCATGCCAAAGTGAATTGTTTATGAATTATGATGCGTTATTTCCAAATTATAAAGGGGAGCCTTGGCGCAGTGGTAAAGCTGCTGCCTTGTGACCATGAGGTCATGGGTTCAAGTCCTGGAAACAGCCTCTTACAGAAATGTAGGGAAAGGCTGCGTACTATAGACCCAAAGTGGTCGGACCCTTCCCTGGACCCTGCGCAAGCGGGAGCTACATGCACCAGGTTGCCCTTTTTTATTTCCAAATTATCAGAATGGGCCAACGAGTGTTGTGTGAAATTTGATAGCCGTACTTTGTTTCTTAAAATTTATCACAACACAAGTGCCGAATTTTTTATGATGTGAAACTGTGCTAATGTTTCATGTAGACAGACAAAGTGGTGAAAAGGAGCAGGCGCTGGCTGTTACGCAAGATTTTGTTCATTTTCACGTTGGAAAATGACCAGGAAATGAACGATAGTAGATGAGGCCAGTGTGTTTTACTGATGGATGTTTTACCAAATGTTCTCATATAATTGTGTTTTCTCTTCATCTTCCTCCTCCAGGCTAAACTAATTCAAATTCTAGCCAATCATCATCCCGGCAAAACTCATCATCATCTTGAAGTAACCAAAGTTGCTGAACTCAGTTCTCAGAAGCTCACGTTGTGCAAAGCCTGCAAGGTAAGCAGCACAAGAACCGCTGAGCTTTGTTCACATCGATCTCTCAAGTACAGCAAGGATTTCAAGCAACAATACCAATACCAGTCGACCTCTCAAAGACATGTTCTGAAACAAACTAGAAATACAGTAGAAACAGAACTAAATCAAAGACACGTTGTCATGCCCAACCATTAACTGATGCGAAACAGAAATTAATTGGCTTCAAAATTTCCTTTTGTTTTATGGCTCTGAGAATCCCAACATGCAAGTGACACGAACTTGCAGAGGTTTAAACAGCATTATCCCTGAGAATGGAAACAAAATTCCATGAACAAAGTTCATTAACTAAAATCTGATGATGCAGCTTAAGGCTAAGGAGAATGCATATCTCCTTTGCAAACAGCACTGCCCTACTTGTCTTGGTTCTCCTCCGGCGCTTCCTGCTCGTATCGGCGTTTGAACTTGGCGATCTGCCCCAGGCTCTGAGCCATCTGCCGCTTCGCCCTCATGTGGTACACTTTGCCGGTGTGGTTCACCTTGGTCATCATGATGTTGATCAGCCTGCCGCTCTGCGTCACGTACGAGATCCACTGCATCTGGGGATGAAGTCCCTTCCTCATCCTTCCAACCTGGAAGCATACACAAGGTCGTCAGACAAAAGGGGTGAATAGTAATACATATCTATTGTTATCAAGTTTCCAGATGTTAACCATGGAAGAAACATCCATTTACTCAACAGACACGCATAAGTTACAAAATCATCAGGAGCATTCACCATGATTTCCCTAAAACAACATTACACGCAAATCATGCTCAACATGCACGCTGTGTTCGGATGTATGTATTGAAGGCTTCCGTATTGAATTGGTTTCAGTTCCAATTCAGGGAGGAAATTGTAATGGACTTGAATACGAATTCACATGTTTGGATGCTCATGAAATTGGGCCTTGGAATCTCAATGGGTTTTCAATACCAAATCATGTTCGGATGACAAACTATGGAATTGCCTATGCTTTGTGCTTTATGCATCAAATCAAAATCTACACAATGAGTAAGTATAATTGAATGATCATATAGCAATAAAAATAACAAATATTCTAAAAATGTAGGACGACCCCAAATAATATTTGCACACCCTGCAAAAGATGAATCTGTGGTCAGTAAATTCATGTGCATGGAGAGCAGGGGAAGAATAGGAACAAAGAAAGAGGAGGAACTTAGAAGGGGCTGCCTGGGCAAGTAAATAAAGAAGAGAAAAAGGGGGATCCAGGGAAGGGGGGAAGAAGATGGAAGAGGAAGGGGAAGAAGATGTGGAAGAAGAAGATGGGCGAGATGGGGAGCGGGTGGCTGCGCCGGCCAGTGGGATGGGCGGGATCGAGGGCGCGCCGGCCAGCTAGATTCAGGCGCTGCACAAAACTGAAGTATGTTGTCCTCGGAACTGCAGCTAACCAATCATAAAGAAGCATGCTATACAGGGCATAAACACGAGCCATCGCATACACACAAACCGCACACGAACAGTACTTCAGATCAGCATGCACAAGCAGATCGAACAGCTAGGGTTATAGTACCTGGGGAGGAATCACCAACGGAGAAGAGAGGGGTGCTGCTGGTCGCCGGCCTGCCGCTCGTCCCTGTCCTCCTTCGCGCTGCAGCCCAGAGAGGAAAAACAGATCAGGGGAGAGAGAGCGGGGGAACCAGAGCAGGGAGAGAGGGCATCCGCCGCCGCTGCCGTCAGTCATCCATGGCCATGGGGACGTCCGAATGAAAGGGGGCAGAGGAGCCCCAAGGGAAAGGGGGCGAGAGAGAGGAGAAGGGCAGCACCTCGCCGCGGCGCCGCCGGACGCCGCCGCTGCTCTTTCTGGTGGTGACTCGAGGAAAAGAGAGAGAGGCGCTGGAGAGGGTTCTGTCAGCGAGGGCCCACCTGTTAGTGACAGGGGAGGCGGGGTGGGTGAGATAAGAAAGCGAATAAAAAACGATTCGATAATAACAAAGCACTCTGACGGTCGTCGCGCTCCGCACTCCGCCGGCCGAGCACCCGCCCCCGGGTCCAGGCCTCCTTCCACCGAGGAACGCCGCCTCCAAGGGATCCTCCTCTGACTCCACGGTCGCCGCCGTCGTCCTCCTCCTCCACGGCTTCTCCGCTCCGCTGGACCGCCGATCCGTCCGGACGGGGGCTGGTGACGAACCCTAACTTGCTTGTACTGTCCGGATGGTTTTGATCTCGTATTTTCTTTCCTTTCTGTGAGCTGTGAGGAGTTTAATCCATCTAGCTTCATGCGGATTCGTTCGCTGCTTGTTGAGCTGATCATAGCTGTGGGTTCCTTTTCCGGAAGAAAAAGAAGAGGAAATTTTGGGGTTCCAGTCCAGCCCAACCCCATGGCACTCTTTGGGTGTGCGGTCGGAGGACATCTCTGGGTTTTCTTGCGAACACTTCTACTTATGGAAAGATGCAAAAAATTCGTGCGACTGTTGCTTAATTAACTGTGTTAATTCTTGGAAATTTATGATCAAGTACTTATTTGAGTATGAATATATATCATATATCAGCCTGTACAGTACCAATTTCAAGCAAATGGTAGTTAATTGGTACCCAGTGCTAACACAATGTTTTGTTTCTTGTGCTGGTGTGACTGTGAACAGGTCACGGCCGGAAACTGTAAAAGTTAATTGTGGTTTGTTAGGATTCTGGGAGGCGGCAACATGCCCTACTTCCCAGATGAAGTGGTGGAGCACATCCTTGGCTTCATATCGTCGCACCGTGACCGCGATGCTGCATCTCTCGTGTGTCACGCGTGGTACCGCATCGAGGGCCTCACTCGCCGCTCCGTGTTCATTTCCAACTGCTATGCCGTGCGCCCAGAGCGTGTGCACGCGCGTTTCCCCTGCCTGCGCTCGCTGACCGTGAAGGGCAAGCCACGCTTTGCTGACTTCAACCTTGTCCCTGCGGGGTGGGGTGCCTCAGCGGAGCCATGGGTGGATGCGTGTGCCCGTGCGTGCCCTGGCCTTGAAGAGCTCCGCCTGAAGCGGATGGTTGTCACTGATGGTTGCCTCAATCACCTTGCTCACTCATTTCCCAATTTGAGATCACTAGTCCTTGTTAGCTGTGAGGGGTTCAGCACTGATGGCCTTGCTACTATTGCCACCAATTGCAGGTCAGAATGCTACAAGCTTGGAAGTCTTTCACATTTCATGTTATGATAATAGTACTGACTACTGAATGTGGATGTCTTCCTTGTACAATTGTTTGAATCTTGGATACCGAATTTATGTTATGTTTGTTTTAGAATGGAAACCGAGAAACTATCAATGACATTTGAATGATCCTACAGAAAAACCTTGATAAGTCCTTGTAAGTTGGCATTGCTCTATCTCCATTTCCATGAGTTCTGATAAACAATAATGATTGAGATTGTGGATGCACTTCAGTTTATTAAAGAAAGGTCTTATTTTAAGGGATGTTTCTTCAAACCAGTTTGTGCGAACTTATTTAAGAGATTGTGAATGCATTGCATATTGGGGCAATCCATGGTTCCAGTGTTATATAATCTTCATGACTGCATATACATTTTGAGATGTGATCAATATAAAAAAGTTTGGTATGCTGCATTTATATAAGTGGAATCTTGAGGGCTCTTTCACCAGTAACTTTAAAAGACATATGTGGACTGTCGGTGGTTTACATATAGCAATGTGGCATTACCAGAACATCGGAAAGAGAGGAAGGCACTAATGTAGTAATGTTGGCTATGTCATATCATTCCAGTTTAAAGGAGGATTAGAATACTCGACGGTTCTTTCACCAGTAATTTATTACCAATTTCAAATATGCCTGGTCTAGAGTCTCTCGATCCTCCCATCAATATAATTGAAGTGCTCGCCTTTTTTTTGAAAGAAAACTATCATGGAAACCCCTACAGTATATATAGGAATATAAATTCACGTCTGTGAGGACTTGAACCTAGGTGGTGGGTTGTACGTCCACTCCCACAACCTCTTGAAGGGCTCGCATTTGAAGTGTTACCAACTCTTAATTAGGCAAATAATGGTAATTATTCACTATTCTTAACCATAATCATCGTACATATTTTTTTACTAAGTTTTGAAACTCACCACAAACTTGTTACTGTAGTTGCATAATTTGGTACGTATCTCTGTGGGTGGATTCCATGTGCCCACCGATCGGTATTTATTTAAGGCTAGGGAATTTCAGCAATATAAACTTAAAACCTTAGTACCAATGTACGCAACAGGGTAAACACTAACGAAGGGTAGCTTGTACTGGCAGTGTCGGCTTGGTTGGGGCAGAGTCAGATCCTAGGTGCTGGCGATCGACTTTGTAGGAGATAACAAATTTGGTTCTTCATTCTTTAGTTGCTGCGTCATACGGCACACCGTATATTGGTGAGCCTGCCCTCTTAAACAATGAAACTCCTTAGTCTCACACAACGAAACCTGGAGATCACAACTTGAAAGATAAAAAGGAGTGGTTAAAGGGGGCAGTTCGCTCGCTAAACTGTGCGTTGTTGAGGTAAAAGTGAGGCACCTGCGGAGGCTGCGCCTCAAACGTGGGTGGAGGAGCTCACAGGTGTGTGCTCTAGCCAACCGAACACCGCTCGGTTCTCACAGCTTGAAAGATAAGATAATGGAAAATATCTTCTCATTAATCTTAGGTGTACATGGTTGTTACTAGCATTGTGCAGCCCACTTAGTGTAGGTCCAAGGCCCCACGTTCTGATCTCCACCCATAACATTTGTAAAGCCCATACGTAAGGCACTTAAAATTTGTTTCATATTTATTATTAACAGTTACAGCTATTATTACACTTCCAGTCATATTTACATATTTTCTCATGTCTATTCATAAAGCATCATTTCCATGTGACTCCAGATTGGATTATTATAATTTATGTGACATATATTTGGTGATACCATCTTTAAGGAAATTCAATAGTTTGCGCACTGTCCGTTTGTTTTCTGTAGAACTGGTAGGTCGTTTGCATCAGTAGTCACCAACAATGATGTCATTCGTAAACCGGATTATTTTGATAACAATTAGAATGTTAATACCTGGCAAAATTGTGTATCTTAGAAGTTATTGTCTCATACACATGTTCTGTTCTATTAAGATTAATTAATCTCGACCTCTCTTCAGTTTTTTAAGTGTTGCTTCAGAAAAGTTCTTTCGGTAATTGCAAGTCATATTACTTAATTTGTAAACTCTTCATTATAGGTTTCTGAAGGAACTTGACTTACAAGGGAGTCAGGTGGAGTTTCGAGGCCGTCATTGGTTTAGTTGTTTCCCCAAGCCTTCGACATCATTAGAATCCTTGAATTTTGCTTGCTTGGATGGAGCAGTGAGTGCTAATGCATTGGAAAGTCTTGTTGCAAGGAGTCCAAATCTTAAAAGCTTAAGGTTAAATCGTGCAGTTCCACCAGCTGTTTTAGCCAAAATTCTTACTTCCGCTCCTAAGCTGGTGGATTTAGGTACAGGATTGGTTGCTCAAAGCAATAATGCTGGTGCACTCCCCAGTCTCTACAGTGCTATTCAACAATGCAGTTCTCTGAATAGTTTATCTGGCTTTTGGGATTCTCCACGTTGGATTACTCCAATAATACAATATATTTGCAAGAACCTAACATGCTTGAACCTTAGCTATGCTCCAATGTTTCGGACAGTTGATCTTATTGGAATTATTCGCCAATGTCAGAATCTCCGACACTTGTGGGTAAGACTTAGTAGCACTGGTGGTAGGGAAATTTAGTCTGTTTCTTGTTATGTTAAATTACTTTATGCAGTTACTAGAGCTTTACTTTGTTGGCTGTGTTGTTTCACTTCAAGCCTATGAAATGAGATGTTTACGTATATGGAAGTTCTACTTTTGTCAACCCTGCTGTAGTGTAATTAGCAAGTAATGTTGCCCAATATGCTGTTTTAAGTTGTACTTATTAGGCAAGAATTTTGTAAATTTAACACACAAAATACATTTAGTTCAACTTCTTATGTGTTAGGATGTGTTTGGTTCAAGGGATCAGTTTGGGTTGTTGAGGGTATCCCCAACCACCCGGTTAGGGATAGCCATTTTTTCTGTTTGGTTGTATAGGGATGAAAAAGGGTTGAGAATAGCCATTTGATGTTTGGTTTGAGGGATGATGGATGGATAGGTTGTTCCAAGAATCTTATTTCTTTGAGGTGGTCAGTTATTTTTTTATGGAAAACAATCATATTTCTGAAGGTGAATAAGTATACAGGGCACATAATTCACGAACAATCCATCTAAATTTGATAGTATATTCATCAAGTAAAATTCAGAGCAAATGCTTGCCGCCTCTGTGCGCTCTGTTCGCTGCTCCTGTAAAGAGAAAATCAACAGAAAACGAGAACACAAGGAGCAGCTCGTGTTCACTGTAAACAAATATATGCATGGCAGCTCGTGGAGTACTAACTATGCAAGATTGCCTAAAGAAAAACAATGCAAGATAGGAGAGCAAGGAGCAGAGGAGCAGCTCCTGTGCCCCGACCTCAGGCCGTCAGGCGGATGCACGGCGTCCCTGTCGGCGGCTGCGCACTCCTGTACAGCACCACCAGTCCACCACTCAGCTTCCCTGTCCACGCCCGAGCTTCACCGCTGGCCAAATCCAGCTGCCCCAACGCGCTCTACCACGGCCGTGCGCTCCGCCATCGCACACGACTTGCCGGCCACCACCAGCAGCAGCCATGGCGTCGTTAGATCTTGTGCAGCGGCTGCCATCGCTCGATGCGAGAGAGAGAGAGAGAGGAAAAATGAGATGGGGTGTACCACTTCGAGCGAGAGCGAGGGTGGTTGCCCATATCCGCCACTTTTCGGCGGCTCCGCTCAGCCCGTTTTTCAGGGAATATTCTTCGAATCTGGCTATCCCCAACCACCCAAAACTCTGAACCAAATGCCTGATAGCCATACAAAAAAAGGGCTATCCCTAGCCTCTCGAGGATATTCCTTGAACCAAACGCACCCTTACTCTTTGACAGAGGTTGCATAAGAAGTTAAGAACACACGTATCTGTTGACTTGTTTAACGATCTACTAGTTTGTACCAGTATAGACATTTGAAAACATCAGACCCTGCAAATGTGGCAAGATATAATAATCTTAAAAATGTCAGCGAACTTTGGAAGTACACCCTTTTTTATCTCTCTTGGCATCTTTGGTAATGCTACAGCGGTTTATACTTTATAGTATGCATCTCTGGCCATGCTGTGCACAAGGAAAAGTTGTAGGCGTGAAAATTCTGTCAACGTAGTACTGTATTTTGAGAATGACCAAAGACAAAATGATGATTTAGTAATAACTGATATGGGATTGATTGATGTTAGGGAAACATTGTCTAATAGCTATTGGACTTAATTGTCAGTGTTACTTAACGCGCTCACCCACACAAACCACACACAAAGAGGTGACATACTTTTGGGTGTTTCAACGTATCTTTGTGTGAGTGTTTCTAATCCCAGAGAAGGTCCTTCTGTGGGTGTTTTAACAGCTCTGTAACTAGTATTGGAAGGTTACTTCAATAGTTATAGTGGAACACTTCTGGTAAAAGGATTCTTAGAGTATACCTTTGTTTTTCTTATGTTTCCTTCATTTGTGTTTCATCCTTGCTGGTTGTTTCTTGTTATAAAATGTTATAATTCACTTCAGCTTAATGGTTGTAGGTACTAGATCACATTGGTGATGCAGGATTAAAGGTTGTAGCCTCTTCTTGCCTGGAGCTGCAAGAGTTGAGGGTATTTCCTGCGAATGCAAATGTGTTAATAAGCACTGGTGTGACAGAGGAAGGGCTGGTTGCAGTATCTTCAGGCTGTCGGAAGCTAAACTCTGTTCTCTATTCCTGCCGTCGAATGACTAATTCTGCTCTGATCACGGTGGCAAAGAACTGCTCGCGAATCACGTCCTTCAGACTGCATATCTGCCTGCATGGGTCAGTAGATGCCGTGACAGGCCAGCCACTGGACGAGGGTTTTGGGGCAATCGTCCGGTCATGCAAGGGCCTCAGGCGCTTATCTATGTCTGGCCTTCTCACGGACAGTGTGTTCCTGTACATCGGCATGTACGCCGAGAGGCTGGAGACGCTCTCTGTCTCGTTTGCAGGAGATAGTGATGATGGCATGATCTATGTGCTCAATGGCTGCAAGAATCTCAGGAAGCTGGAGATCAGGAACTGCCCATTTGGCAACACCGCGCTTCTCGCAGGCATGCACCGGTACGAGGCAATGCGCTCGCTTTGGATGTCGTCGTGCGACATCACCCTGGGTGGCTGCAGGTCCCTCGCGGCAGCCATGCCAGGCCTCAACGTCGAGGTCATCAGCCAGGCGGATGGAGGCGCCAACGATGCAAAGAAGGTGGAGAAGCTGTATGTCTACAGGACACTCGCCGGCCCAAGGGTTGATGCCCCTGGATTCGTCTCGGCACTGTAAATTACTTATACCGTCGTAGTTGCTGGGTTTTCCTAGACCCTGCTATTTGTGTGAACTTAATTCGGTGCTGTCGCACTTTTATGCTACGTCTGCTACTCTGAAGCGGGCACCAGTCTTGTGAATTTGGTTAGTCTTCCGAAGCGCTATTTGTGTGGCCAACACAGCATAATATATGGATCTAGGCCTTATTTCCAAGGTTGCACTGCGGTATAGCTGAACTGTTTGTGACGCAACGAGCTGATCTGTTCTGTTACTGTGTGCTTGGTTACTGAACCAAGTGGAACGGAATGCTATTTTTATTTTTTATTTTCTTTATTAGAAGAAGTGGAACGCAATGTTATGGTTTCATCTTGGTGTTTGGTTGGAGCCAATGAAAAGAATGAAACGGTTTCATTTCAATGTTCTTGACGATGGTTTTGCTATTTCACATGGGTCTGAATTTTCTGGTGGGCACCGTCAGGAGTGGCGGGGGACGGGAGCTGGCACTTCAGCCTGGGTTGGGTTGGGAGGTGGGTGTACCGGAAGGAAGAAGAGGAGCGGCCGTTCTTGCAGGCATATGCGCTCGCTCTGGATGTCGTCATGCGCGGCATCACCCTGAGCAAATATGCCAGGCCTCAACGTCGAGGTCATCGGCGAGGCGGATGGAGGCAAAGGTGGAGAAGCTGTATGTTGAGGATACTCGCCGGCCCGAGGGGTGATGCCCCCTGGATTCGTCTCGGCGCTGTAAATTACATGTGCTGTCGTGGTTAGTGGGTCTGTTAATTTGGCTTTTAAATTTCAGTTTTGTTAAAGCACATCTAGATGTGCCATAAGTATTGCACATCTAAGTCCTATGTCATTGATTTTATGTCGAGATTCGTGTGGATATTTTCTTTTTTCTTTTTTCTTTTCTCTTTATGCTTGATTCACTCACTTAGATGTGCAATAATTAGAGCACATCTAGATGTGCCCTAGACACACCGCTGATGAATCTGCATGCTTCCTTTGTTAGTGATCAGAGAATGAGTCGTCAGTAATTTCGTAGAATGTGGCGTGAAGCAAAATCCTTTCTTTTTTCTACAGATGCATTTGTCAGATTGTTGATCGACGCAACACAACTTGTTGATCTGAGCACCAAAAGAACCTGTTGATCCAGAAAAAGAAGCACAAGAAAAGGAAGAAGAGAGTATGTTGATCGCCATGGAAACGCCGCACAACTTGTTGATCTGAATGTCAAAAGAACTTGTTGATCTGGACTTTAATTTGGAACGACGAACAAGCAGTTGTTTAAGCTTGCCGCTCCCACCTCCTAGCAGCCGGTGGCCACTCCGGCCCTAGCGTCCACTCGCCACCACACCTCCTGCTCTGATCCCAAGCCTTTCGATCCACTATCTCACGCCATGGCCCTAGCTGATCTCAACTTCGAAATTGGTCAAGATTTTGTCATGGAAGTCTGGAGAAAATGGGGAGTGCCAATCAACTACGAGGAAGGCAAAGACATGGAAGAGTTCCTCCTGGTTGCGGAGTTCACTCGATCACAAATCCGACTCACGGAAGAATCATTAAGCACTATTCTCTTATCTTGTTTTGGAGGTAGAGGATCACTTTTTAAGGTCCAATTTCTCAGAATTGGTCGTTTAAATTCTCTGTCTCCTCCAAAGAAGTGGGGTTTTCGATCATCGAGGGAGGCAACATCTCTCTTCCTCTACCGAATATCAACTTCCTACTTTGGGGCAATGGTGGTCCTAATTCCAGTTGGGAATTGGATCAATACCTCAAAGAAAAAGAAGATGCTTGGACGCACATCTTTCATCGTCACCCTAGGAAGTCCTACATCCAGGCTCTGCAATCTCCAAGGATCTATCTAGATTCATCTTCCACTGATCATAGATCATCAAGCACAGATCCGATCACCCATAATCAAACTAGATCACTAGGACACAATCACATCACTAGAGTTAATGCTATTACTCTGGCAGTTACTACCAACAGGGCGGGATCATCGCAATTTCAAAAATCAGGCTCTTTGTTCTGTGTCCGGTGCCTTCTCATGGGCCACATCCGGCCCAGTTGCACAAATAGAATTAAATGCCGGGCCTGCAAGCGATGGGGCCACATGGCACACAACTGCTATTCTCAACCCAGGCCCAACCCAATCCCCAGGCAAAGCCCACCACCTAGCCAGACGTTTGCGATTCCGAGGCAACCCGCCACTATTTCCGTGATTGTGTCTAATCAAGCGGTCATTCAACCCACCAACCAGGGAATACCAGTTAATTCTCTCCGGTAGGCGTCCCGGGGCGATTGCCACAATCTCAGTTCTTCCCAAACTCCGTCTCTCTTCGTCTCCAATCCACCACAATCCAACCAAATCCTACTTCCTCTTCTCTGTTGCCGGCGGCGACCGACCCTGCATCGACCCCGTCGACAATGGCGGCTTTCCCATTCGACCCCACCCCTGTCCTGCCACCGAACCACCATAGCATCTAAGTAGCTGGCAGACCGGCTCGGATTCGAGTCATCACCGGTGCTGCGCCAGCAACTCATGAAGAGTGGGCGATTGCCACGATCGTTCCGATGCCGAATCTCCCAGTGGCATTCAACACCGTCAGAGAGGTACTATCTGATTTCTTGGCTGATCATCATCTGGGATTCACTGAGATTGAGCTGTGTCCGTTCGGTCAAGTCTATGTCAAGTTCAGTAGCATTTTTAACATAGATGATATGGTTACCCGTAGCTCGCATCTGTTCACGGATGTCCATGTCATATTTCAAAAGCATGACAGAGGAATGAACTGGAGGAGCTTGGTACTCAACATAGATGCTTGGATTTTGCTATGTGGTTACCCATTTGACAAAAGAAATATCCAAGAAGTAAGCAATGCAGTTAGTAAGTTTGGTAAATTTCTAATGTGGGACAGAGTGCGTAGTACCAGAGCCAATATGATGGTGAAGGTCAGAGTGGAGGAGCTCAGAGACATTCCTAATAGCATTGTCATAGGAGAGGGATATGACTTCCAGACTGGCTCACTGACTGTGCTAGTGGTAATACTCCAGCATCAGATCCTGGGAGCTGAAGCAGCTGATGAAGATCCTGTGAAGCCTCATGGCAACCCACACTCACTCCCCCAGCAAGCCAATTTCCATCCAAACCAGCATAATCATTTCATTGGTCCACTTCAACAACATGAAGTTGATGAGCACTTGGTACCTGCTCCACCTCATAATCCTCAGCTTAACCTGCAACTTTCCCTTAATGTTGCTGACCATGAGCATGATGACCCAGTAGATATGGAGATGGAAGAGGAACAGGACCACATGCTAGGTTGGGGGCATTGGGCTATGCCTCAAGGAGCAGATCATGAGTTACATGTAGGAGAATTTTTGGCTCTGAATGACATTATGGAGACAATGGAGGAGATCAATAACCCAGCTATGGAAGCAAACAGTAGTATCACACTTTCTATGTTGCCATCTAACAACAGTATCAACTCTACTGCCTCTGCTAATGGCCCTATTGCTCCTGATATGCAACTGCATGAGTTACCTGATTTGAATTTGGAGGCCATGCCAAATGGTCCAGCCCAGGAACAGGCCCACCAACCCCACCTACTGTCCACGGAGATAATGTGATACTTCCTCATCTGCAGGCCCAACTGGGACCTGAGCCCAGCATGGTAACAACACCTCAACATACTGATCAACTTCAGAGAGATACTATGGAAGACCAAATGCTCTTTGAACTCATGTCCCATTCTACTCCCTGCATCAAGAAGGCAGTTCAAAACTCTGATAAAGAAGTACATGAGGAGGGTATGAATATCACTGTGGATCAACTGAATGCTGTGAATCTACCTGTTGAGGCAGCTCCTACAAGCTCTGAACACACTGCCGCTGACACCACTCAGGTCCAGGGAGACAAAGCTACCATGCCAGCCATAGGTGAGACAGAAAATTCTGATATGACAACACCACCAGGCTTTCCTGAACCTTTATTTGCTAATCAGGCTCATAATACAAATGCAGACATAACATCAGGACTGGTATCTGCCAAACCAGTTCTGGAGGAGATCACAGTGAGGAACATGAACAATGAGGAGCAGCATATGGGCGCAGAAGGAGTCAAGGTTTGGAGTAAGCACTTTGCTCCAACTACAGAAAGCAAGGATACCATTCAGGTACCAGTGGACTTGGCCAATTTCTTATCAGTTGTTCTATTAACTCCTAGCAAATTTGACTGGGCCAAAAGATTCATTTCCTCTACTGTGTGGAAAATTATTTGTCAAGGAGCTGCAACAAACACTATTCCATTTGTTATCCCAAAAAACTGCCTAGTTGATAACTCCCTGGAGTGTTCTATGACACAGGATACTAAGGAGCAACACCTCACCATCTGCAGATAACAATACTACTGAAGTTATGTCTGCCTCATCTACTTCTGCTCTGCACAGAAACAAGAAGAGGAAAGAAAATGTGGAACTAGTTGAAACAGAGGTAAGAAGAAGTTGTAGACTCCGGAAAATTAACAAGGGTTTTAAGAAAGCTGTTTGTAAAGATAAAGAGTGCCTGGCTTGTCATACTGCACCACCACCGATCCCTCCCAAAGTTGTGAAAAGTATAAACACCTCTTTTTGCAAGGTCTATGATAAGGATACAATTGAAGAACTCTTCAGCAAGAAACACAAGAAGACCAAGAGTGGCAACACCACCATGGAGGGAGTCAAGAATGCAAGGGAGCATAACAAGAAGTGGATCTAGCTTATCTCTTAACTAGATCTGCAGTTTTGAATAGTGACCATGGCATATGTTATTTATGCTCCTGTATCTGTAAGATGTGAGACTGTGATGTTCCTCAGTTATGCTATTAGTATGGTACCTAAACTGCTTATTGAGTGGATGTTTTACTTATGCAAGAAGTTTGTTGGGAAGAATACTGAGATTGCTGGGTCTGATACTGTTTTGAGCTCAGTTTATTTACTATTCACTATACATTGATGAATAGAGATTGGAACATTTTGAACTGGAATATTAGAGGCATCAATGATCCAAAGAAATGGACTGCTTTGGCTAATAAAATTGAGGAATCACAATGCTCCATTATTTGTATACAGGAAACTAAGAAAGAATCTTTTGACATCTCCTATCTGAAAAACTTTTGTCCCAAGAGGTTTGGAAAATTTGCATTTCTACCATCTATAGGGGCTTCTGGAGGCCTCCTAATTGCATGGAATGATCAAGTGTTCTCTCGTCAAATCCATCACAACAACGATTTTTCCCTATCAGTCATTTTCACATCCAATCATAATGGACAACAGTGGATTTTAACCAATGTGTATGGGCCATGCCAACCAGATGATAAGATTCTGTTTTTGAACTGGTTGCAAAACTTCATTACACCAAATGACACGCCCTGGTTACTGATGGGAGACTTTAATTTTACTAGATATCCTCATAAGCGAACCATGGCTGGGGCTAGTATTAATGATATGCTTTCTTTTGACACAACAATCAACAGACATGCTCTCATTGAAATCCCACTAAAAGGCAGGAAATATACTTGGAGTAACATGCAAGAGGCCCCCCTATTGGGAAAACTTGACTGGTGTTTCACTTCAGAAGATTGGACCATCAAATACCCAGCCACTTTTGCCATCCCTCTAGCTAACACTGCCTTAGATCATGTACCTATTAAAATTAGGGTCCTCTATTCCTAAAGCTAATATCTTCAGATTTAAGAACTTTTGGCTAGAACATCACCAATTTAAAGAGGTAGTCAGCTCTATATGGACACAATAGGTGGATGAGAGTGACAGTGCCAAGATCGTAGCAACTAAATTCAAGAGACTGAGAAAAGGACTAATGAATTGGGCTAAAAATTTGTCTGATCTGAAAAAGATCATTGCAGATACCAACTACATGATTCTTTGCTACGATACCACTGAGGAGTTTAGGCTTTTATCATTGGAGGAACACAATGCCTGGAACATTCTCAAAGTTCACCTTGAAGTCATTCTGGATAATCAGAGGCAATACTGGAAGCAAAGAGCCACTATAAGAAAGATCAAAGTGGGTGAAGCTAATACTGAGTACTTTCAGGCCAAAGCAACTATTAAGTACAGGAACAACTTCATCTCCATGATGAGAGATGAGCAAGGACATGAACATCATGATCACCAGGCCAAAGCTGCAATTTTATACAGAGCATTTAAAGAAAGAATGGGCACATCTGCACCTACCACAAACCCACTGAACATACATTAGTTGCTCCAACCAATGGAAGATCTATCTGAACTGGAAGCACCATTCACCAAGGAGGATATTGATAATGTAATTAAGAATATGCCTACAGAAAAATCACCAGGGCCAAATGGTTTCAATGCAGCATTTCTCAAGAGCTATTGGGACATCACTGCTCCTGACTTCTATAAGCTTATAGAAGATTTTCATTCAGGACAAGTTAATATTTAGAGTATTAATTGTTGGGGAACGTGTAATTTAAATTTTTTTTCCTACGCACACGCAAGATCATGGTGATGCCTAGCAACGAGAGGGGAGAGTGTAATCTACGTACCCTCGTAGACCGAAAGCGGAAGCGTTATAACAACGCGGTTGATGTAGTCGTACGTCTTCACGGCCCGACCGATCAAGCACCGGAACTACGGCACCTCCGAGTTTTAGCACACGTTCAGCTCGATGACGATCCCCGGACTCCGATCCAGCAAAGTGTCGGGGAAGAGTTCCGTCAGCACGACGGCGTGGTGACGATCTTGATGTTGTACCATCGCAGGGCTTCGCCTAAGCACCGCTACAATAATATCGAGGATTATGGTGGAGGGGGGCACCACACACGGCTAAGAGATCTCATGGA